AAAAAAAAAAAAAAAAAAAAAGCAAAGCCAAGCAACAGATGGAATTCTAGTATGCGCTCCCTGAAAACACGTGTAGTGACCTGACTTGACGTGTGAGGAGCCTGGGACGGTACAGAAACGAATTGAACTCTGGGACAGCTTTGGGGACACAATTGCTCTTATTGGATGTTGCAAGGTTGAGCAGGGAACTGGGTGATGATTCACCATCCCCACCCACCTCATCCCCCCCCTGTCCCACCCAAACCGTCCTGTTTAGCAAAATACGGCTCCTTATTACAGAAGTCTCCTTAATCCCCTCTATAATCCCCTCCCCTACCCCCTCCTCTTGTCCCTATCTTATCAGTTCTCCACAAGGAACTAGAAGACAAAGTGGAGAAGCTGAAGAGCAAGAAGGTTGAAGGTCATGCGGCCGAGGATCGGAGTCAAATCCGAACTACCAGTTGGTAAATAAATCATACCGGATCAGCCCACACAAAGTTTTACGGTCTTGATTGATTAATACAGTCTATCATTTATTAGTGAAAAATAATTAGGGGAAGGAAGGGTGGGCTTAATAGAGATGGGGGAAGATTATTAACTTTCTTCCCCTGAAAAGGCTGAGCTTACAAGAGGGAGAGGGCTTATTTGAGACCGGGAACCTACTAGAGAATTTAGGGTAAGATAAGATGAGGACATGTAAGAGGAGCAGAGAGAACAGTTATCTGCTACCATGTCCTACCTCTCCCCTCCCCTTCATGTGCTTGAGCTACGCAGGTTACACTTGCGTACAGCTTGTTGTTTATGCACTAAACTGAAGCGTTTATGGTAGATTTAATAGTTATCTACCTTAATTAAACGAAAAGATTAACTCAGCCTGTAGAGCGTTTGATTGCAGGAGCGAGAAGTCACGGAACCGGACCAATACTGAGGGTCTTAAAATAACTAAGGAACTGAGTCAAACCCCGTTACTACAGACACTAAGGGGGGGGGGGGGGGCAAAAAAATTGTCCGATTGGAGGGGGGGGAATCGGGGGAAAAAAAAAGGGCCTTTTTCCCCAGGGAAAAAAAATAGGGGTTTTTTCTTAGGCGAGTGGCAAAAAAAGGG